GGGCGGGTATCTCTCCGAGCGGGGTGGGCAGGAGCAGCAAAGCAGGGCCCCCCCGAGGAGCAGCAGGACCGCACCTGCCCAGCCAACGTACAGGGCCGCCCCCAGCTCCCGCTTCAGGGCCTCGGACACCAGCGGGTTGTAGAAATCCCGGATGATGGTGTTGGCCGACCAGCAGACGGGGATGAGGCACAGGATGCCCGACACCACGAACACGGCTCCGGAGACGATCATGATGCGGGCCTTGGCGCCTTCGTCCTCCACGCAGTTGGTGCACTTGGCGCCCACGATGCTCACCAGCAGAGCCAGCACGGCCAGCAGCACGGAGATGACCATGAGGGCGCGGGCGGCCTGCAGGTCCTGGGGCAGGGCCAGCATGGAGTCGTAGACCTTGCACTGCATCTGGCCCGTGCTCTGCACGATGCAGTTCATCCACAGCCCCTCCCAGATGATCTGCGCCACCACGATGCTGTTGCCGATGAAGGCCGTCACCTTCCACATGGGCAGGGCGCAGGAGATGAGGGCCCCCAGCCAGCCCACCACGGAAAGCGCCATGCCCAAGATCTGGAGACCCGCTGAGGCCATGCTGGGTGGGAAGGTGCCTGCAGAGAGGGGAGGTGGTGAGGGGAGCCCCCAACTCAGGGGGAGCCCCCAGACAAGCAGCCAGAGGGAAGAATGTGCCAGTGTTGGGGCTGCTGGGGGAGGGGTTCTGGCTCCAGCAGCCTTCAGTGACCCCCCTCCCCTGCTGGGTCTCAAGGGGGGGGGGAGGAGCAGCCCTTCCCTAGTGCTGAGGGGGTCTCAGCTAATTGTCCCTACCTGGGGCAAGGCCAGCCCTCCCCATGGTGCCTCCCCCCAGCCACCTGCTGCAGCTGCCCCCTTTCTGGTCAGTGACCCCCCTCCCCTGCTGGGTCTCAAGGGGGGGGGGAGGAGCAGCCCTTCCCTAGTGCTGAGGGGGTCTCAGCTAATTGTCCCTACCTGGGGCAAGGCCAGCCCTCCCCATGGTGCCTCCCCCCAGCCACCTGATGCGGCTGCCCCCTTTCTGGGGGGGGTCGCCGCCCTGCAGGGCCCCCCCATGGCCAGGCACGCCAGGCACGCGCTAATGCCGCCGCTTGGCCCTTCCCCAGCGCCCACAGGAGGCGCTGC